CATATAGAAATGGCTTAAATTGGTTATAGTAATACATTCTCCCACAAATCCTGATTGCATTTTTATTAAATGCTATCTCGTTTCATTTTTTTTCCTTTTGTTTGTTGAATATATATAGCTACCGATTTCACATATGTGACTCAGTTTACCTTATTAACAATTCAGGTAAAAATAAACAAACAGAAACAAGTAAGCAAAACAAGAAAGCCATGAAAACCAATAAAACTAAAAAAAAACCTCTGTGTGCAAGAGTGTACAATCCATATCTGACATACAACACAACTACTGGTAATTCACAGGCCCTTGGCAGAGACATATCTAAAGAGCTATATCTAAAGAGGATCAGGGCCAGTTGGGAGGGCAGGTTCCAAAGAGCAGGTGTCTTTTTTTTTTTTTAACAAGTGCTAAATATTATGATCTTTTCTACAACTTGAAAATATGTATATTTGTCTGAAAATCCTAAACAACATTCAAGAGAAATTACCTAGTTACAGCACAGTGATGATGATGATATAAATAACAGTGAAGCTTTAAATACTATTTATCAGTCCTGCATTGTAGAGAATGCAATTCAGAATGGGAGCTGTAAAGTTGACCATGGACATAACATTGAGAAGAAGTAAAACAACAACACCAACAACCCATGGTGATGATTCTGCTTGGGATTTTCCCTCTAGTGCCAGTTCAGTGCCCAAATCAATTTTTTTCAATCTTGTGATGTGAAAATGAAACGTCCCATCACTCTCAGTATGTATTCTGCATGTTCCTTTATTAATTCAAAGGTAAGCCTATTTTGATATTTTAAGATGTTATGCTGATTTAAAGAACATGGATAATTAAAAGGATACACTAGTCCCATCATGGCAAACCTATGATATGCTGGCCAGAGGTGGCATGCAGAGCCCTCTCTGTGGGCACATGAGCCGTCACTCCAGCTCAGCTATGCTGTGCATGTGCCTCCCGCTGGCCAGCTGGTCTTTGGGTCTCTGCTGCGCATGCGTGGGAGTGTATGTACAGGGGGTGGGGTGCATGCATGGGGATGCACAAGCATGCATGGGGGGGTGCATGCACAGGGGATGCACACACATTGCATTTTGGGGATGTGCATTCATGCTTTGAGCATTCAGTGCTGAAAGGGTTAGCCGTCACTGCACTAGTCCAACTATGCTTCTCATCTTAAATAAAGCAAGGTGTTCTGACTATTTTGAGAGGCTACTAAAAGAATGGATTCCAACAGACACCCAGTTCTGCTCCTGATTACTGTGAGGGTTTCTTATAGATCATTCATGCCCACAAAACTACCAGATCTAGATTACTGGCAGATGGTGGATACAGAAGCCTTTTCTTCTCACTTTTTGGCTCATCAAAAAGTTTTTGTCAGTAAGTTTCACACACTAATCATTTACTTACTGGCTGTGTTGTATTTTTGTTCCTCCAAAAATGGTTTACAAGGTAGGGTTATCAATCGATGGTTGACAGTTACTTCTGCAAATTTATGTTCCCACCCACACTGTAATCACACCAATCAATTACATCTGCAGCGGGCAAAGTATTTTGGATGTGAAATTTTCATACTTTGAACGGGAAAAAAAGAAAAGAAACAAGAGCCAATACAGACTGATTTACTTATCTGAACATCCAAATTTTTGCATTCCCAACTCTGGTAGTCCTAAGGGGGGGGGGGGGAGGAAGGGAAAGAAGAGCATTGCGGTTTTTTTCTTTTAATATTATCTTTATTGAAGTTTTAAACAAATGCAAATCTAGTAAGAACAAGAATAGCCAATCAAATTCCACTTTTATTGAGTTCAGCTCTTACAGAGTTATAAGAAACTAATCGCAGAATTATAAATCTCTTACAAATAAAAAAGGGGAAAAAAAGAACTGACAGACTACAGAAGAAATAAAAAATAACACAGGAAATTATAAACAAGAGGGGAAAAAAAGCCAAGCGTGCGATAATACACTACAGTTAAAACGCTGAGACCTCAAAGCACTAATATTACATTCATGCAAGTCGTTGCACGAATGAAAGTATCGCTTCCTGCGCCTCTCCCGGTGCCACTACGGTACTTAGACTACAATTCCCAGAATGCCACACTAACTCATATCAGTTTTCAAGGGAAGCCCTCCCCTTCTCAGCGGCTGATTACCATCCCAAAAGTCTTTGCGCTGCTGTCGCCCTTGTCGAGCGCTTTAAACCGCGTCCCTAACGAAAAGCATGTTGGGAATTATAGTCCTGATAAATAAATAATGCGCTATTTGGTCGCTGTTTCTCTTTTAAGCATAATTCCGTCTCAATGGCTACTCCTCTCTCAAAATCTCTATTGATCAAATAAAATAAAAATAAAAATAAAGTCGGGTTTTACCTCAACGCAAGTTTCCCCGGAGTGATCCGTTGCCGATCTTAATTAACTCTTAAGACAACAGCATTATGTATCTATAGCAACCACGGCGTAGTAGATTCTCGCGAGAGCTCAGGTTCCGGAAGACTTGGTTAAAAAAAAAATGCCTGTGAAGTCCGATGAGGCCACGTGACCTCTTCCAGGCTGGCTTGAAACCCCTTTCCATTGTTAAAGAGAGCGGAGGTTTATTGTCAAGAATTGATTTTGTATTTAAATCGCATCTTATTGGGCTGCAGATGAGCAAAGTAGTGTTAAAATGTCGGCTAGTAACGCGACCTCGCCAACTGGACTCAAAATCAGACTAGGATTAGTACTTGGATGGCGGGGGGAGATCGCATTATATACTTGGTTAAGAATGGGAAAATTAAAATATTCTGAAACTGGTGAATCATTTCTAAGGACACTATAATTATGTATCCCCAGGGAATTTAGCTAAACTCGAGGGCATTTTTAATTTTAATATGCTTAAATGTCATCAATGACAATTCATGTTTTTAAAATGTACAAATACTGCAGGTATACCACTTTGGTAATGTCTGGTATTCTTTGCAGCTTATTTTAAGTTTCAGAAAACACACCAAAATCCACTCCAAAGGTTTAATATAGGGATAGAAAATTGCAATCACAATACCAACTGTTTTCAAGTGGTAGAAACAAACATGCCAGCTATACCTAAATTATAGTCAGTCCTATTTAACAGTAAAATTCTATGCAGTTGTAAACTTACAGCTGGTAAATAAGAAAATTTTAAATGCTCCTCGGAGCTTAAGTTATCAACTTTAACCAACACATTCTGAAAAGAATGCAGCATTCACCATACATACAGGGCCCTCTTGTGGCTTACTAAAAGACATGCTTTAAAAACCTACCCACACAACTGAGTGGACCTGATTTAGCAAAAATCCCACCAAACCCAATCTATAGTAATTACAATGACTTTACAAACTATACTAATTTTAGTGATCACTGCTAGCATGTCATGAAGTTGTTGATTCTTAGGGTTCACATAGATTTTAAAGCTTATAAATGTGCAAAAACTCCAATTCCAATTGTAGAAAAATATCAGCACATTAGTTTCCTTGTCTATTTTGTTTTTTCTACTCCCTCATTCTGCAATTGTGCTCTATTTGTCTGCCTACAATCATGGCTCAGGGTTTGTTTAACAGATTGAGAATGATATTGTTGAAATCATAATATGAGATAACGGAGTTGGTTCTGAAACATCCTTTCTCCACACTGTTCAAAATGAAAAACATAAAAAGGCAGAAAATAAAAAGTTCTGTTCCTTTTTGAAACATATTAAATATTTCCACAGTGTGTAAATTTGAAAAATAATATAAGCATACATTCAAACATACTCCTGGTCTTTTCAGAGAAGCAAACTGAAACAGATCTAGTAATATGCTACCCTCTGAAAATTTTGAGATTTTAATCTTTCATGTATGTGTAACTGGCAAGCTGGGGAAGTTGTAAAAATCTTAGTGCATGAGAATATATGTATGGGTGTAATATACAAAGTACACAGTTCATTCAAAAATTCATCCATTCAAGAATGCTGCAAACAAATTCATATACAGCATAACAATAAAGTGTAACACATTTATCTGTTTTCCCCTTCAAATATAGTTAGGACCTAATGCAGATAGTATATTTGGTTGTCAGTTTTGGTCACCACAATGTAAAAAAAGATGTTGAGACTCTAGAACACGGGTGTCAAATTCATGACATCACATTGCCGTCACGTGATGTTTCTCCCCTTCACAGAGCTGGGGCGGGCATGGCCTGCACATGATGCATCTGGCCAGTGGTCCACCAGTTTGACACCCCTGCTCTAGAAAGAGTGCAGAGAAGAGCAACAAAGATGATTAGGGGACTGGAGGCTAAAACATATGAAGGATGGTTGCTGGAATTGGGTATGTCTAGTTTAATGAAAATAAGGACTAGGGGAGACATGAAAGCAGTGTTCCAATATCTCAGGGATTGCCACAAAGAAGAGGGAGTCAAGCTATTCTCCAAAGCACCTGAGGGCAGGACAGGAAGCAATGGGTGGAACCTAATCAAGGAGAGAAGCAAGCTAGAACTAAGGAATTTCCTGACAGAACAATTGACCAGCGGAACAACTTACCTCCAGAAGTTATGAATGCTCTAACAGTAAAAGTTTTTAAGAGATTGTCTGAAATTTGTCTGAAATGGTGTAGGGTTTCCTGCCTGATCAGGGGGTTGGACTTCAAACCTCCAAGGTCCCTTCCAATTCAGTTATTCTATATTCTAGGTACCGTACTCATAATATAAACTATTTTTACTGTCCTTTATTCTGAATGAATAAATGTATATATTTTCACAGTACTTTGGCAGAAGAGTTGAGGAGAACAGAATCCTTTGCATTCTTTCTAAACTTTGTTCTACCACTTAATTAAGAGTATGAAATCTATTCAACAGGGAAAAATAAAGTTCTGTTATCCACAGGGACATCTATACATGTAGCTATTCAAAGAATGTAACATTACCCTGAAAAACATTTCTTAGCGTGTGATAAATGTACGACCCCCTATTTTATTGAGACAGATGTTTGCATAAATAGCATTGAGACAATTTCAGTCATATCCAGCATACATTTAATGAAATAATTCTGTTTACAAGGAAGTTGAAACACTGTTAATTACATTGGCCATTTCCACTGGTTTTCTGGAGGTTCTTCAACTAAAGGTTCCCAAGGACGGTATTTCAACATTTTCTTAGCTAAGGAAAGTTCATTTTCAGCCTGTTGACAAAATATAGATTTTATTTTAAAACTGTCTGAAAGATGGCACTCCAAAACTAATTTCCATACACAATAAAAGTTACTTTCCCAAAATCAGAGAGAACTTAAAATCATAAATCTCCTCATTATGGTGGTTAGCAGAGATTGGTGCCATGTTTTTATTGTTTCTAAAGTTTGATGTTTTAACTAGTTACATATTATACTTTTAAAATAATTTTAAAATGATTTTATATGTTTTTTTAATCTTTGTTCGGAAGCTGCCCAGAACTGGCTAAAAGCTGGATGGCTGTATTTGAATAAATTACTTGTTTAAAATAATGATTTGATTGACACCAATTCTTACTGAACAGTTTGTGTAGGAAAAAAAAAATTGCCAGACCACACTGCTAAGTTTACAAATTCAGTTTAGTGGAACATTCTCCCAAAGCTTCTATACTGGATATACTAAATCATTGCTAAATACCTGCTGAATCACTTCTTCTATCTGTCCAGCGTTTAGTTTGTTTTCCAGCCTTCGCACATCAGATTCCTGCAAGTAGTTCAAAAATAAATGAGAAACTCTGTTGCAGCATATTCCTGTATCTTGGTGTTTCTCAATCTCAGCAACTTTAAAGGATGTGGACTTCAACTGGCTGGGAAATTCTGGGAGTTGAAATCCATATATTATAAAGTTGCCAAGATTCAGAAAAAAACGGCTTTGTTACTGAATGAAGAATATTCAATATACTGGCTAACACTGTAATTCTGCCTTCTCAGAATATGAAAAATAAAAGTTACAGATTCTGGCCATATGTATATACCTTTACAATTAGCAACTGGTTATCATCTTAGATATGTCATTTAAAAAAAAATGAAACACTGTTATTGCTATTTAACTTACTCAATAGTAAAATAATAGTTATAGAACTGTAATTCAACAGAAATGCAGGTTTTTGATTGTTATTCTGATCAGGAGTTGTTAAATTACAATTGTTATATTTTATCATAGTTCCATGTTTTGATTTTTGATACATTTTTGTGGGAATACTCAGCTATTTCTAAACAATGCAACCAAATGTAATTGAAGCAGTGCAAGATGGATATAGAATTCATATCACTGTCCTATACTTGCTGGAATAAGATTCATAAACAATAATGAAATATTAATGTTAATGTTTAGGATTGACGGTGCTTGTTGGAAATAAAGTATTTATAAAATGCACATCTCTTTGCAAAAAACAACAATCTGTATTTGCCAAAGTGGATTCTGAAAGTCACCTTTTAAGCCTGAAAGCTATGTTGGGTGAAGCTAGTATTTGAAGGGGAATCAATCAATATCAGAATTATAGACTACTCTAGGATTACATCGGCACATGTATCGTCACCAAGAGTTAAGTTCCTTTGAAAAAGACCATGTTTCCCATCAAATTGAACACACACACAAAACCAAATAACATTTCTGCATAATATTAAATATTTCCTTCATGTCAATCTCAGTTTGCCTGCTCGAGCTGAAATAAATCCTGGAAATAAATCATCAAAAAATGTGGACTCATGCTACATATCGATATATAAAAGAAGCTATATAAAAATTGGGGGGGCTAAAAAGGGAGATAGAGTTATTTAAATAAGGTGCAATTATTTTCTCTCCTATATACTAGCCATTTATCTCACACAATCCAATATTGCACAAAAGTATACAAATATGTGCATATATGTTCATTTTTTTTCATGCAGAAATAGCAAAACATGATGGAGAAAGGATAAGGGATTAATAGCAGCCAACTTTAAAGTACCCATGTTTTTCAGACAATCATATGGGCCCATACTTCTGTTTTTAATCATTTATTCTGTTTTCATTAGAAAATTCACATGTGATTATCTGTGGGGGGAAAAGCTTGTTTACCTACAGAAATTGAAAATTTAAATCCTACCTGATCATTAAGAAACCTAGTTAACTGAAATATTAATATAAACCATAATTAAGAAACGCATCTAAATAGCAGTATCAAAAATTATAATTTGATATATGCAACTTAACCAAAAAAAGTCAATGAATTTAATTTATACTTACTGCTTTCACTATATCAAACCGTTCATTTGTAAATTTCTCTGTATATTTCCTATATGCTGCATCCTGAGGCATACTCTCTAAAATACCCAGAATTTTTGTATATAGTAACTTGAGGCTCTGAAAAGATCATACGGCACAAAGCAAAGAGTAATTTTAAGTCAGGCAAAGTGAAAATATTGAATGTAAGCTACTGCAAGATTTTAAAACCTAATTAAATTTGGTAAATTAATGTACTGCAAATTAAAACAAGAAAAATGATTCAATGACTGTACTTAGAAGAGTTATACCACAAAGCTTTCTACTTAAGTTATATATAGCAAGTAAATTCAAGGCACATTTAGAATTAAGAAACTGCTTTACATAAAAGTTGTTTTCATAAATCCAAAAATGTTAACTCAGTCATACATTTGCTTTTCTAATATTCGATTATAAGAACTTTCCAAATCAAACGTGTCTACTTTTCTTACCCACTGAATATTTTAGTACGATTCTACCATTTCTTTCTTTGTGCACTCTTTGTATTTTATCCAGTCAACTAAATTAAGGAAACACATCCCTCATCCTTCAGATACAATTGATATTTAAATTAACAATTCTAAGATACCCTAAACCTCTAATGTGACTGGATGAGACAAGACCATTAGGAATAAAATCAACTGACTTTACAAGAAAGGGAATTCCAACCCAGTTAATGACCTAACAAAATAGCTTTATCACTTTATTGAAACATGGAAAAGTGGGCTTCAACCCTGAGCTACAAACATTCTCCTTTATTGGTACATGGCAAAGTTTCTTATACTTACTTCATGTGGATTGTTACATACAGCTAATCCCACAAGCCCAGTAGTCTGTAGGTATGAAGAAATATATATTTAGTTGAGCAGCAATCTAAATCAAGATAACAGATTTACTCATCTGAATGATCAATTAATTTGCATATGGTTAAATCTGCATTTGTAAAACATGTTATTTATGGATATTATATACACACTTTCAAGTTCTCCAGAATTTATGAAGTTAAAAGCAGGGATGGGTTTCTACCGGTTCTGTAGAACCGGTTGCTCCGAAGAGCAGCAGACATAGAACTGGTTCTATGTCTGCTGCTGTTATGGCCTACACACACGCCTGGGCTCTTACCTGACCTTTATTTCCTGCTTTTTCAACTGCACCTGTTTTACGTGACACAGCTGCAGTTGAAAAAGCAGGAAAAAAAGGGCTTTTCCAACCGCTGCACACTTGCACGCAGTGCTGCTCAGCTGTCTGGGCAGCTCAGCAGGTTGTAAATTGCACTTGTGCGACTCGCACGACACTAATAGACAGAACCTGTAGTTATACCAGTCGGATCCCATCTCTGGTTAAAAGTACATTAAAAAAAAACACACAAGAAGCAAGACAACGGAACACAGATAAAAGAAAAACAAAATAGAAGTCCAAAACTTATTCCAAGTGTTTGAGCCTGAGAATGTACCATTACAGAGAAAAACTTGAATTTTTAGAGTACTAAGCAAAGAAACCACACAATTTAAATCAAAAGTGTAAAAATTCCTCTATAATTTTAGCTTAAAGTCATGTGGATTAACTACTTTCTATGTCCATAAGAAATAGTTATCTAGAGGTATTAATGCAATTACAGGGAGCAGCTACAGACACTTAGCATAAAGGTCTGGATTCCAAATGAGCTAGGATCCCACATCTGAAGGAGTCCTCTGTGCCTAAAGGAAGATGTAAAGTGATGTAGCTACTGGGCATCTTTATGGGCCACATGTTTCCCTTTCTTTGCGCAAAAGGTAAAGGGTGCACCTGTGAACCAATAAAATAACTGACAATAGAAAATGACACTGGCTGCAGATAGCAGATTGAAAAACAAGTCACCTCTGTGTTTGCACCTCCATGTGCACACAAAGAAAAATTTTCTTCAGATTTATACAGTATCAAAAACAAAAAAACATGCAATTAGAACATGGCTCACCACAATTGTGAAAACTACACCATTTACAGAAGTGGCCAGTCAAAATAAGATACAATAACAGACTTAAGGTAAGATATTCTGCATTCCTTTAAGGCAGTAGCTCCCAACCTTTTGGGCATAAGAGATTGATTCTGTGGAAAAAGTGTGGTTTTGCATACTGGCTGCATACGGTGGATGGGACTTTGCTTGTTTGTATGGCCCGGTTGCTGACATGCCACAGAACAATGCTGGTCCACAGGAAAGGCAAGTGAATGAAAAATGTGCCTTCATGAACCAGCTCCATTCTTGTACAGGTAGTCCTCATTTAATGGCTTCCCCCTTCAGCAACAATGATGAAAAAGTTAACTTTACAACCAGTCCATTTATGACCTTCACAGGCCTATAAAGCAAAAGAAAGCTAAAGTAAGGCCATAAGCACAGTCACAGTTTCCCTACGCAACTGCTCCATTTAATGACCATGTTGTGGGTCACAATTGTGATTGATTAAACAAGAACTCATCATCAAAGCTGATACCAGCCAGAGCATAGAACAACTCATAGAACAAAGTGCAAAATTAGAAGATGTGGGTAGACATGGACCATAGACTTGCCAAAAGTCCAACACGATTGAATGGATAACATCATCATCATCATCATTATCAAACAACAACTATCTGTGCAAACTTACAGATACAGATAATCAGAGTTGGAAGGGACCTTGTAGGTCATCTAGTCCAACCCACTGCCCAAGCGGGAGACCTTACACCATTTCTGACAAATGGCAGTCCAATCTCTTCTTGAAAGTCTCAAGTGATGGCACTCCCACAACTTCCAAGGGCAAGCTGTTCCATTGGTTGATTGTTCTCACTGTCACAAAGTTTCTCCTTATTTCCAGGTTAAATCTCTCCTTGTTCAGTTTCCATCCATTATTCCTACAGGGGCTTTAGCAAATAGCTTGACCCCTTCCTCCCTGTGGCAGCCCCTCAAATATTGGAAGACCGCTATCATGTCTCCCCTGGTCCTTCTCTTTACTAGACTAGCCAAGCCCAGTTCCTGCAACCGTTCGTTGTAGGTTTTAGCCTCCAGTCCCCTAATCATCCTGGTTGCTCTTCTTACCTGGGAGTCAAGGCGAAAAGTTTGATAAAGGTTGGGGAGGATGCCTGCCAGAGAGCCATTTATGAAACTGGCTTTTTTTTTTTTTTCTGGCGGCATACATTCCCAACCATCATCATGTAAAATAGATTGGGTAGAGAAAACAACTGGCCCAAAGTCCCCCAGAGCAGGGGTCTCCAACTTTGGCAACTTTAAGAAATGTGGACAAGTCTTAAAAGTTGCCAAGGTTGGAGACCCCTGCCCCAGAGAACTCCCACGCTTAAGAAAGGACCCAAACCTAGTCACCATCCCTTGCAGCTCTTCTTAAGGGAAGGTCCCTCTTCCATGTTGTTCAGCAGGACCCATGCTTAGCTGGAGATTAGGAGGGCATCAAGTTAGCACAGGGGGGGTCTTCAAGCTTGACAGCTTGAAGACTTGTGGACTTCAACTCCCAGAATTCCTCCTCCAGTCATGTTAAGCTCAGGAATTCTAGGAGTTGAAGTCCACAAGCCTTAAACTTGCCAAGTTGAGTTAGCAAAATCTCATTGAGGGCGGCGCTCCAAAGCCTGGATACGGGAGGGAGGAAAAATCTGCGGAGACCAGAGATTCCTTCTAGGACAGGGGTCTCCAACCTTGGTGACTTTAAGCCTGGTGGACCCCTGTTCTAGGAGACTGATGCCCGAAGATGCGCATCCCCTAGTTTTAGCCAGGAAGGCTGGGAACTATAAATATTGGCTAAACGTACCCGGGAGTACTTCCACCGCCCTCTCCACTCTCACCTTCTTCAATCCCGCCATTGCCGCTATATTAAAGAACAGGAGCCCCCAGATTCACTCAATCGCCCAGCATCGAGAAAGAGAAGCTGAAAGGTCTTTCTAACTCGCGTTAGACAGAGGGCAACTTCTAGGACAGCGCAAAGCGCATGCGCCTCGGCCATCTTGGAAACAGGAAGCGAACGAAACATAAACAAGCGGATTGGTTCCTGACTTATGCTCGCCGCACGTTCTGAGGGAACGTCACTCAGAGCTGAGGCGGGGATGCACCGCCCATCGGGTGGTAAGAATCGGAGAATGTGTTTTGGGGCGGGGCCGACAGAGGGATTGTGTTTGCCTTTGTTGGGGAACCTGCTGATTGGTCCGCGGTTTCAGAGCGGGCGCTGAGTCGGAAGTGATATTGATTCCAGGTGGAATACGACTTGAGGAATTCTGGGAGTTGAAGTCCTCACATTTTAAAATCGAGGAGTTTGCTCTTCCTTGGAGATTGGTTCAATGTGTGCTTTTATTATAGGAACCTCTTTATCATCATTGTCAATAATATTGAGTGGTAGTCATTTTGAAAAACTAGGCAATTGATACTGTATCAGAAAGTTGAGTTAAAACAAAAAGTGATTTTTTTAAAAATCTGCATGGATTGCGCTAACAATCCTGCAACATACACATGCATTACAACTTGAAGAAGGGTGTCAATTTTATTATAAGCTTTTGCAAATAATAACTGATTTTACTAGACGATCAGGACTCTGAATCTGTGTTAAAAAAAAACAATTTGAACAACTTGGAAACGGCAAAATTATCTCTTCACTGTAGAGAAAAGTAAAGTCTTACACTAGGTCAAGAAAAACCAAAAGTATTGGGTGAAACTAGGCTTAATAGCAGTAACTGTGAGAGGGATCTTGGAGTCTTATTGGACAATCAGCTAAATATGAGTTAACAGTGCAGCGGCAGCCAAAAAAGTCAATGGAATCCTAAATTGCATTAACAGGGATTCAATCAAGATCATGTGAGATACTAATACCACTATAAAGCCTTAGTAAGACCACATCTAGAATACCTCATCCAGTTTTGGTCACCACACTATAAAAAACGATGTTGAAACTCTAAAGTGCAGAGAAGAGCAACCTGCTACAGGAACTGGGCATGGCTAGTCTAGTGAAGAGAAGGACTAGGGGTGACGTAATAGCAGAGTTCCAATATTTGAGTGGCTGCCACATAGAGGAGGAGGTCAAGCTATTTTCCAAAGTACCTAAAGGCTAAACAAGGAATAATGGATGGAAACTGACCAAGGAGAGATTCAATCTGAAAAGGAGAATTTTTCTGACAGAACAATTGACCATTGGAACAGCTTGCCTTCAGAAGTTGTGGGAGCTTCATCACTGGAAGCTTTCAATAAGAGACTAGACTGCCATTTGTCAGAAATGTTGTGGGTCTCCTGCTTGGGAATGGGGGCATGGAGTAGATGATCTATAAGGTCTCTATAAATTCTGTTATTCTATTCTGTTCATTCCCATCTAGTGGGGGAGCAAAGTCAGTCTTCACTCCTTGTGATTACTTAGACAAGTCCCTGTGGTTTTCTTTGCAGGATTTCAGGAGTGGTTTTATCTTTGCTTGCTTGCTAGGAATGAAAGAGGGGAGGGAGGGAGGGAGGGAGAGAGAGAGAGAGAGAGAGAGAGAGAGAGAGAGAACACCATCTTCTAGTTTGTAGCCTGAAAATAAAATATGGAGACCTCTCTAGACGGACATTGGACACTTGGAAAATGGCTGATTTCCCCAAGTAAGATGTAGTCAACCATAACTCAATAGCATAGGATAGCACAGCATAGCATAGTCAATGATGAGGATTGCTCCAAATGTGTGGTCCAAATCCCAGAATTTGGGGAAGAATATTAGGAGGTGAAGCCTAGAGATCTCTTGTTGAGAAATGCTGAACTTGCTAATTGTGTTTATCAATACAGTCTTTCCTCCTGTTGCATGTGCTTAAAAGTTGCATATGCTATCTGGCAATTCAGATTAACACATTTTTCAACAGCAACTAGAATGCAATCCAAATGCAAATATATGTATATGTAAAGCAGGGGTCTCAAACTCAATTTACCTAGGGGCCGCTGGAGGCAGAGTCTGGGTGAGGCTGGGCCGCATAAGGGATTCCACAAAAAACGTTGTTAAAAAAATATCCTCAAATGTCATCAACAGTTAATGATTTCTCCAATACATGAACTGTCCTGAACACATGAATGGAACATTGAATGAAGATCATGAACAGTTCCTCAGAACATGGCTTCTCCAGCTTACTCCTTGCTGCCAGAGACTTGACAACGCTTCCTCTCACATATCTGAGCCACATTTGGCTTGAGAGAGGAGGCACTGGAGACCCTCAGTATGGCTTGAAGATGATCATCAGTAAGTCTGGACCTGTACTTGGACTTGTTAAAGTTCAGGGTGGAGAAGAAGCCATGACAAGGAACGGCGGGCGGGAATTCCTTCAGAGGTCCATTCCCTCTGTGGGCTGCACTAATATTATACTTTCATATCATGGTGGGGGCCACAGGATATCGTCCTGCGGGCCGCAATTGGCCCGTGGGCCGCGAGTTTGAGACCCCTGATGTAAAGTCATACATTAATACAGGCATATATCATTAAGGATAAAATATGGTTTTTCAGGTAATGTTTTTCCTTTAATGATGGGCATGTAATATTTTAAGTTGAATATATAGGTCAAAAATGACATAATCTGGTGCTATACAGAAGTACCTCTATTGGGCTATAATTTGGATTATTTCTAGTCAATATACTATGAGCCAGTTACATAGTAAATGGCCTCCTTATCTTTAATATAGCTGGCAGTATTATATCTGTGCCCTGCTTCACAAGTAACTTTTTCTTTTACAAAAAGAACCTTCTTTCTGAAGAATCTCAGCAGATGGCACCATCTATCTGCCCATGTTTGTCTGGAAGGGGAGCAGGGTTAGGCGGGTTTAGTATACAGATGGATGTCTTAAGGAACTCCAGAGCTGTAAATTACACCGGGGAAACAAAATGAGGAAATACAGAAAGAAAACAGGGTAATCTCCCTTCCATGTTGCTGCCAAGGAAAATGCAAAGAGTTGTGTTTAACCTAAAGAAAATTTTTTATATTTTTTTCATCCAGGAGTTAAGGTAGTGGTGCCCTTGTCAGCCTCCTAATTGTACTCCTATAGTTGGTTCCACTGATAGGGAGTCATTGGCTTAAAATTTGTAATATGTGCTACTGTGCTTTTATCATGCCACAACTTCTTATAAACACCCAGTGGGCTACTATGGGATAAAATCTGGACGAGTTAGCTACTTAAAATTGTACACAATGTTTTAAGTATTCTTATGATTGCTTTTATATCATACTTTATAGAGCAGTGATGGCTAACCTTTTCGGTAGTGAGTGCCCAAAGCGCGTGCATGTGTGTGTAGCCCCAAAATGGAATGCATGTGCGTCCCTGCACATGCGCCCTATGCATGCGTCCCACCCCCATGCATGCGCCCCACCCCGTGCATGTGTGCAGGTTCCCACACATGCATCCCACTTCCCATGCATGCGCTCCACCCCTGTGCAAGCGGCAGAGACCTGAAAACCAGCTGGCTGGCAGAAGGTGTACACGCATGTGCGGCGGAGCTGAGCTGAGGCGACGGCTCGCATGCCCGCAGAGAGGGCTCTGCATGCCACCAGTGGCACACATGCCATAAGTTTGTCATCATGGTTATAGAGCAACTTTCACTAGGAAGATAAACTGATATTCTACATATATCCAACTCCTTCCATTTTTCTCCAGCAGCATTCATTTTTTATTAATATTATTCATTTAATTTTCATCTCTTTCCAATTGTTCCATTTACCTTCAGATAACCTTTGATGAGACTTTGGAATAATTGTGTGTCATATTTTCCTGTAGGCTGCTTGTATTTCAGTCGTCTGAGGTCAAACCTTAATTTAACTATCAAGTACGTATTTAATTTTAGAAATACCACATGATCCAGCCGCTCCCAAGGCCTATGTCTACATGTTTGAAATTCAGTGGCCAATGAAACAATGACAAACTTTCGAAAGGTAAGTTTTTTTTTTCTCCTTTATTTATAGAATGTCATTTAATATAATACAGTTAACTTAAAACCAGAAATATTATGTTATGAATAAATTCAGACAGAGATTGGAGATAATGACAGATTGTTTTGCTGTGAATAATTTATGTCTGTGTAGTTATTCCCTTCCTTTATTATTATGGAGAACTTAATGTGCGTACATTGTTAGTGTTAAATCATCAACAATTATTTATAAAAAATAAAGGCAGAGTACAAATTAATATTTGATGCATGCCTAACTACTGTAGGATGTATGGAATTTGATTTTAAGTAAGCTTTGGTACAAATAAAATCATTTTTCTAGGTTTTTTTTTAAGCAGCAAGTAATCACTATTCCTAGATGTGGGAAACTGCTCAATATATCCACTTTTAGTAAAATCTGTGTACTTAGAAATGCTTCATTTTAGTTTTAGAGTTCAGGAATATAAGTCAGTGACAGTAATTTCAGTTTTATTTATACGTGAAAATAAAAATTAAATAGTAATGTAGTGAATGTGCTGTCAATTTTTGGGGAACAGGGTTATAAATGTAGATTGTTCTGAGGTAGTAACACATAAGTGTTGATAGGTTGTGGTTTCTCTGGTGATGTGTATCAATGGGAGCAGAGAAAACTGGGTGACCATTGAAAGGGATTGATTCTCATATACCAAATCTCTCTCAACCCCTGACAGTTTTAATCAGGAGGTCGCTGAAAGAACACACTACGGTTCAGGCGAGATAGAAAACAGAAATCTGAGATTGGGTTTTATGAACATTTTGCCTCTCTAGACTGGTGATATTCAACCTGTAGTTCACAGATCATTGGTGATCCATGGAGGTCCACCATGTTCTTCACTAGTCAGCTGGCCAATTCAGAACCTGCTTTCTGCCCCAGTTCCTGCCTTCCTAAACTTCACACGTGGACCATGTTGACAACTGGTTTGCTGAAGCATTCTAGCGATAAGTCAAATAGCAATGGGATTAGTAAAATTCAGAAAACTGATATGCGGTTGCTGACTATGAGTCCATACACACCACACTATTTTGAATAGTGATTTTGCATAAACAATCCCAAAAGAAAGGAAAATATCAATAGGAAATGTGACCAAATGAGATGTAAATGGAACACTGAGATGGAAGAACACTTATTTTCCGGCCTTCACCCTTTGAGATTTCTATCACGTTTCTGCTAACAGTGGTTACTACAACACAAGATAAAACAAAAGCTAATCCAGCAGGTAAATAGAGATTAGTTTGGATTTCAAAATGTTAGAACAAAATTTAGCTTAAAAACACCTTTTAAAAAATGGAAGGGATGAGGACTCATTAAGCAACTATTTGTTCAACAACAGTGAAGATATTGTGGTATGTGTTTCAATTCCCCCCACACATCTATCTCTCTACTGCCTTTCAACTGTCCTGCTGTCCTTGCCACCCTGCACTCCCTCCTACACCCCTGACATCCTGCATTCCACTGTCCCTGCCATCTGTCTGTTGCCCCAGCAGAACTTCTCCATCTTCTTCCCACTGCTGTCAAGAAGTGCCAGACACAGGCAACTACTGACCCTTCTTAATACAGAGTTCTCATGAAGAGCCATAGCTGCCTTGGCCAGGTGTGCCTTGCCAGCAGTGGGAGGAAGAAGTTGGTGAAGGTCATCTGGAAGTGGAGCAGCATACAAGGATGTCCAAAAGGGCAGGAATAGCTGAGCTAGCCAGGGGGAGGAGTTGGAAGTGCAGATGGGCATGGCAGGGTGGTGAAACCTGGTCTGCCAAACTGAGTTTGCCAGGCCTGGCTGGACAAGAGGCAGGCAGCTGGATAGAATAGGCAGTTTGCATAGAAGTGTGAGAGCCTTGCCTGCCAACCACCGCTGGGGATACTGAAACTGCCATTGCTAAGCAGTTTGGTTAAATGGTGACTGCTCCACATAGCAATGGAAATTCCAGTCCCAATTAGGATTGTTAAACAAGGACTAAGGGTACAGATTGTTGGAAGAAATATCCATCTGGTTCAGTTCCAAGCTGGGAGAAAGACACTGGAAACATGGAGGCTGATTGGAAAGATGGTTTAATGATGAACAAACCATATTTATGGTTCTGGTACAGCTGACAAAATGCAGTTGAGAGTGGGGGGCGGTTATGCCTTATTTGGGCTTGTATTTGAGCTTCCTGTTCCTGTGCAAGAACATATCCTGTAATATTCTATTGGCTGTTGTCAGATTCCTATGAGGTCATGTAGGGGTCATAGCTGGCTCTATAGGCAAGAGGAAATGCAAATCCTAGGTGCTTGTCTGAGCTAATTTGGTCAACCTCTGCTTATTGTTTATCTGAGCTCCCAGGTGAAGTTTTGATTGCTCTGGGACGATGCAGTGAAGGGGCTTGTGTTCTGAAAGGGTGTTGGGCAATTTCTATTCTGGCTTAATGACTTTTGTCCTGTGTTGGATCTTGGGTGAGGGGCTGCTTCTAATCCTACCATTCTGCCTGTGTTAGTTGTGCTGTAAGGAGTTTCAAAATATCCTGTCTTGAATGGATTTTTGCCTGCAGTATTTGGTTTGCTTATGAATAAAGCTATCTAGATACTTGTCTTCCTTTTTTAATAAGCTCTTTATCTCTTAAGTGTTGGCATATGCTGTAGACTATTAAGAAAAGGTGGGGGCTGCTTCCTGCCTCTAAAAACATGTTTCTCCATTTCTCCTTTAGGGAAATATAGTATTCTGCCTGTTTAAATTTTTCCCAAAATATTTCATTCTTCTAGGAGGGGGGCTTCCAACAAGATGAAACCCTAATTGTTATTTACTGAAAAACATTTAACACTCATTGTTAAAAACAAAAGTGTATAAAAGAGACCCAGTTTAATAAAGTGGTTACAGCACATGATAGAAACCACGAAACTGTGGAGTCTAGTGAAAGCATGAAAGCCACTTGGGTGACTTTGGACCAGACACTGCAATTCACTGCACAGGGTGATTGTTGTGGGGAAAATAGCAAATGGACAGAGTATTAGATATGTTTGCCTCTTTGAGTTCATAAAAATAATTAAGATAGAATAATAATAATTAAAAAAATATGGAAATCTTGCATTTTCCAAACAGCTGCAATTAATTGCAGAAAGAGAAGCATTGCTTCAAACCTTTGGCATAGGAAGAGTGGCTTCGATGAATTTAAATTTTGCTTTTGCTGATGCTCAGTCTTTATATTGCTGAATAAAACTTTCACTCACTTCCTTTCAAAGGAGACCAATTCTGAGTAAATTCTGTACTTTGCAACTTTCTGACTGCTTGACAAAATGGAATATATGTAATGAATGCTGAAGTAGAATGTATTTTGCTTTATTTTTTTTATACTTCAGTTCTCATACTGAATCCAAAGAATTAAATTAAACTTGACTGAACACGTGCTTCTCTCATGTTTTGGCATATTTTTTCACTTAGCATCAACTTTTTATGGCTTGAAACACCTCCTTAACACCTAAAAAAAGAATGGAAGGAGATGAGGACTCTGGTGAAGATCTCACTGAATATGCTGTTCAGTTTAGTATCCAGGAGTCCCTCAATCCACCAAGGGCTTCTCCCAGTCATGAGACAAGGTAATTAAGTGATGTGGTAGGCCAAACCCTGTTTTGAATTTCTCTGATTTATAAGGTGCTTGTCTGGTTTACTCTCTGAGTACCTTATTCTTTTCATATGTGGTGCTTCACTTTTGCTTTAAAGTGCTCTGAAGCCAATGTTGGGAACATAATTAGGATATTCACTCATTTTTCAGGAGTTGAAGTTGTGGTAACTTGTAGATATGTTTATTACTTATACTATTTTGATGACTTACAGTGATGTGAATCTATTTAAAATAAATATTTTAATAAATAATAAAGGAGCATTGTGTTAATTATCATTCTTATTGAGCCAGTTTCCTTATTCAACATTGATTTTAAAAAAACCAGGTTTCTGAAAGCAGTGAGTGTTCTTGAAGAACTTATATTTGCACTTCATTGTCTTCAAGTTGGACAAATCACTGACCTTAGGTGGGTAATTTGATTTGATTTGTAGAGACATGAGACGTAAGAAAAAAGTGGAGAAATAGTGAATCTGACTGTAAAAACAATTGTAATCCTTCCAATTGAATTCACTCCTAACTTATGCAGTTTTTTTTTTCAATTCACTTGTGAAAACAATATCACACAACTAAGTAATAGCATCTGGTTTGGCTGGTTTTGAAAAGCTAAGCAAGGCTGATTAGCGTTTGACTGGCAGACCTCCTTAATACTTTATATAATTCCAAGGTGGTAAGATGGACTGGAAGAAAATGCTAGATTGTTGCTGAAGAAACTATGTGGATGTGTTCATGAAGTCACCAGGATTTGAGGTTGACTTGAAGGAAACAATTATTGCAGAAGCAGAAAAATAGGTGTTTGATGAAATTACAGCAATAGCACCCAAAATGTGAGATTCTATAAATGCTCTGGTTTTTTTTCTATAGGTTTGTACCTGTCAGTGATCAGAACAAGAAACTTGTAACTGCCATAAGAGAAGGTACATTTGCCAAAAGACATTATTAAATTAATTGTATTATTGTTTGAAAAGGCACGGGCCTGTTTTGTTTACAGTTTTCATCGTGAGTTGTCATACTGTTTTTTTTTTTTCATTTCTTTGCTATCTAGCCCAGTGATCCCCAACCTTTTTTATGCCGCGGCCCGGTACCGGCATCAGCTGGGCGCCGCGGCCCGGTACCGGCATCAGCTGGGCGCCGTCATCTTTTTTTGATGAAAAAGTGCTTCCGGTGAGCTTTCCGGAAGCACTTTTTCATCAAAAAAAGATGGCGGCGCCCAGCAACCAGCGGCCCGGTAGGACTTGTTCCGCGGACTGGTACCGGTCCGTGGACCGGTGGTTGGGGACCCCTGATCTAGCCCAACGGATCAACTGTTTGCCCATATATATATATTCATGGGTGTGTATATCTCTTCCCTGAGAAAAGCAAAACCTCACATACATTTTATCAATAAAAGCTTGTGCTTTTACAAAATGTGTTAATCTTTACTACAAGCCTTTCTTGCCTTTTTAAAGATAACAGTAGCCCGTCCTGAATGCTTGCTTCATTTCACCTTAGGTTATTTCTTTTAGGACTAGTCTTTGATCTTCAAAACTATGTCAAGTGCAAATACGCTCTGGATGAGGCTGATGAGAGAGGTTGGTTTCCTTTACATGAAGCTGCTGTTCAGCCAATTCAGCAAATACTTGAAGTAATCTTGGATGGTAAGTTGGCCCAGACTTTGAAGCTACAATCAATACGTTTGAAGAATACGGAGTTGTGTCCAGTCAGCGTTCACCTAGAACGCTGAATGAATTCAAGGTTGTTTCCAGAAAGTGCACCAATAAGCTTATTTAAATTTGAGCTCCACTTCAGGTGTGTTCACAGATACATCTACCGGTATGTACTTTCAGTGATGAGGGTTCATTAAGTGTTACCAACTAATTTATATTTAGCTAGTTTAGATTGTGGCAAAAGCATCTAACCAATGCAAATGTTATGAGATTTTGATTGAACATGATCTGGTATTAAAAATTCCTAAAGCAGGTATGTGCATATAACAATTGCAGCATTGAAAACTTAATTTGTGTTTAATTCAACCTAGCATCTTATAAAAGTATGTGGGAATATAAGACATGTGATGGAGAGACACCATTAACTTTGGCAGCCAAATCTGGGCACCTGGAACATGTCAGGACCTTGCTGGCAAAGGGAGTTTGGCCAAATACCATGAACAGAAAAGGAGAAACACCTCTTCTGATTGGTAATTATTTTGCAAATGGCTTAAGAGATTTTAGCTTGTTTCTAGAGCGTGTAGGATCAGAGGTTGAACTTTGTAGAATATGGAAATTGATTATGCAAACCTTTAATTATATAAGTTACTGGTATTTAGGTCATTAAGCTGTACTACACATAGCCTGCCTTTATAACTTTGCTTACACATGCAAGTTGATCTCATGACATATGGTAAGTTCTTTAATATACCTCTTCCTTAGGTCTCTTTATAAATGAGCTTTTCCCCCCTCCATTGATAGCCAGAAGGGGTACACCAACTTTCATGTCATTCTTGTGCTTCTGGTATGTTCTCTTGAGCAGCGACCTAATTTCCCCTTTGGGTTGATAGCATAGCTCCAGGGGAAGTCTTCAGCAAATGAGGAAGAGGTGCTAAAAGAAGTCAAAGAAGGGGAACTACATTTGAGATGATTTCCACTTGGATTGATAGAAATGTAGCTGGGCTTATTATCAGTTGCTCAATTATGTTTCATTTTCTTTCACTTTCAGATTATTCTTGGTCCCTGTATTTTTTTACAGAATTTATGCACTGTAAGAATTTTTAAAAAAAATATTTGTAGCATGCATTGGGTTTCCTTTAGTTTCCGGGTTTCAAGAATGATGACAATAGGAAATAATTAAGTATTTCCTTTATTGGCATGCCACCAATTCCTGAATGCTTCTAATCCCTCTTTTTTATTTGTAATTACAATGAAATTTTGATTTAGCAGATTTTGATATATTATGACATCAGCATAGATGCCATCCTTTTCAGATGAATAGCCAGTAGAAAATAGCGGAACCCCTGTCCTCAGCGGTCTGTTAAGTTGAATGTTTGTTGTACATTCTTCAGCAAGTAAAGCAAAGGAAATATCCTTAATTCTAAAATATTTTTAATTATTATCAAAATCAAATGCAAATGTAAATATGAATAACAGGTTGAATTAGAACTACATTACAAACTAAGCTAAAGTTGTTCTGTATTAACATACTCCAAATACTGACTTCTTATTGGTCCACGCAAACGGCATTGTGATTGGCCCGCTGAACGGCAGTGATTGGTCCGCTAAGAATCAACCGCGATTGGCCGAGCCAATCGCGGGAGATTCAAAGACCTGTCATTGGCCGGCGAGCCGCGAGCAATCCCTATATGAAGGGCTGCCGCGGCTCCAAGATTTTGTACAGGTCTATACATGAAATAAAGAGCTTGAAGTACACTGGTCTCGCGTCTCTTTCATACCCAATCAAACAAAAGTCATATATTTTTATTCATTGAAAACACAATATTTTTCTACAGAAATTGCAGTGGGTTATTTTGAAATATATGGCATCTAAACATTTCCCCCTCTTTTCCTTGTCTTAACTCTTAAGCTGTAAGACAGAAATCACATGAAATGGTTTCCATTCTGATTGAATACAACTGTGTCATCAACCAACCATGCGTTAAACGATGGTCAGCAATGCATGAAGCTGCAAAATGGGGCTGCAGTGATATTGTTGCCCTTCTTGTGAAGAATGGTGGAAATATACAACAGAAAGATGGATACGGAGTAACACCTTTAGGTGTGGCTGCTGAATATGGACACTGTGATGTATTGGAGTATTTAATTCATAAAGGTGTGTTAACAACAATTTTTGTACTGCAAGAGATATGACCTTTGTCTGTAACAATGTTGAATAGTTCCTCATTGCCTTCAAACTGTTTATGAACATCTTTCTTAATTTCAGTTTACCATTGAAAATACATGATAGCTGCCCAAGTCAGATTTACTTCAATCCATTTATTTTCTACTGTTTGGAAAGCTGCAATGGATATTAAAGAAGTCACTAACAGATTATGTGGCTTTTATGATGACACAGGCAAGGCCTACTAAAGTTTGTTTGTTTTAAACATCTATCAAGGTCACAATGAGAACAGTGTAGTTAGGAACATCAAACTGTGGATAGACCAGAAAGAGTAGGGAAAGGGATTATTTCCTGAAATATTATTCCCATCTTTCTTCCCACTGACTGGGTGGAAATGATAATTTAATAACACGTGGAAAGGTATATATTTGGAAAGGTGTACATTTCCCACATCTACATTAACTATCACAAAGCCATTGAATTTAATACGTAGGGTTGTGGTGTAGATTTACTAGTAACTAGTAGTTACTCTTCATACTGCCTTGTTACTGCGAGCAGATTCAATGAGTAGACACTTCCCTTTCTCTGTAAGGCTGTAGCAATTCATACAATATTTCAGAGCAGGGAAACCAAAGGAAAAAAATTCTTGGATAGACTGCAACTTGGATCATAAGCAATTGATTAGAGCACGATGATAACTGTACACAGATTTCCAAAATTGGGATGAATAAATAAATATTGAGACATAAATCTACTTTCTCCTGTACCACTAGGTGGTGATATTAACATAACAGCTGATGATGGATCATCAATACTCTTTGAAGCAGCTGGTGGTGGCAATCCTGATTGCATAGCTTTGCTGTTGGAATATGGGGGAAGTGGCAATTTGCCTAATAAGGCAGGGCATCTTCCAATACACAGAGCAGCATATGAAGGACACTATCTGTGAGTGTGTTCTTTTTATATCTCTTCGTCCAACAACTTTACATAATGGTTTTGTTATTTATTTACATTATAAATGATAAGGGTTATAAGACAGCATATGCAAAAATAAAAATAAAAAAGAAGGCGCTTTCCTGGAGGTGCCTTCAAACTGAGACTGCGTTTCTGTACAAACTTTCCTAAGAATACGTTCCACTGAATCCTACTGTTTTTTTTTTTTAAAAAAAGAAATAAATAGGATTGTGTATTTCAGGGCTGAACAGAGTACGCTGCCTTTAGATCAGGGGCGTCAAACTCACCTCATCAGGGCAGCATCACGTGACGTATCGGGACTTTTTTTTCCCCTTCGCTAAACCGGGCAGGGGCGGGGCCAGCATGGGACACATCCTGCCCACGAGCCGTCAGTTTGACACCCCCGCTTTAGGTAGTCGGGAATATCATACATGCTTGCATCTGATGGTCATTCTTAAATTCTGCCCTTACAGTAAAGCTTTGCCTTATTTGTGGTTGATGCAGAAGGTTGGGGCGGAGAATTGCTAAGCCTTGGGATCTACTGGGTCCACAAGCCCTTCCCCATTTCCAGTTTTTTTCTCAGTGCCAACACTAGACTTTGTGATCAAAAACTGGCTTTAGTGATAGAAGAGGGTTCTGATATAGGGGCTACCATTCTAAATTTAGAGCCTTCTTTTTTTTTAAGGTGGAAATCTGATTAACCTAACCCAGAGGTCTCCAAACTTGGCAACTTTAAGTCTTCTGGACTTCAATTCCCAGAATTCCTGGCTGGGGAATTCTGGAAGTTTAAGTCCACAAGTCTCGAAGTTGCCAAGTTTGGAGATCCCTGACTTAACCCTTCCTCTAATTGCAGCCTTTTTAATTTGTTTTAGAATTTATTTATCTGATTAGTTCTATACAGCTTGTAACTGTACAGTTGGTCACACGATCAAATTAATTAAAACTGATGCAAACATTCCAATTGATTAGTTGGGATCTCTGTGCAAGTTAAGGTATGGTTAAATTACATGCTACAGTCTTTTGTTCTGAACTGTAAGTGATTTCAAGATGCTGGAAGCACAAGCTAAGCCATACTTGGTTTCAAAGAATAAGGTTTTTAATCTCTCCCTAAGTACCTTGCTACTGATAACTTAGCTCCAAAAGGAAAAATTATAGATAGTTGCAATTTTTTCTCCTAAAGAATGTGAAATAGTAGGGTTAGGGTTACTTAATTTTGAATGGACAAATGCTGAAAGGGGTAGGTTTAAGCAATTTCTTCACTCCCTTTCTCTTGGAAAGCTATCTTATAAATAAAAACAAGAGGGAGAAATCTATCGGAATCTCAATATCTTCTGGATCCAAAGGCCTCTTCAGAATGATGAAACTTGCACTGTAATATTGCAATGTAAGCTCTATTCCTTATGTAAATATATGCTTTCTCATTTCTTCCCATTTGCTCTCCCACAAGATGTCCATAAATTTGGGTAAATCTAAACAAACATGCATATTCTTGTATACCCCCAAAATTGAACCAAGACAAATTTCACCGATTCTGCTTCCCTCAAGCTGCATCTTAGATGATTGAACCAAGATGATTGCATCTTAATGATGACTAATTGTTTTCTACAATATTTACAGGCCATCTGCAGTGGTTCTAGTGTTAAAAGCATATTAACTTTATGGAAACTGTCTTAAAAATACAAGGATCTATTTTGTTTGCTATTATTCATTCTTCTTCAATTGTAGGTTTAGGTCAGTGTTAATTTAATTATCAGACAGAATTAGGCATGGTAGCTTAGGGTCTTTATTATTCATGACAAATGATCTAATGGGGAAGAAAATTTAATGCTGAAAAGACTGATTGCTCTCCCCATCAGTTATTGTGTATTTGGTTCTTTCTGACATGAAGAACAGTGAAGATGGAAAGACTAAGAAACAGTTGGGACTTCCGGTTTGTCGGCTTCACGAGCGGCAGGGATTTGCGAAGCTGCGCGATCCCTGCTGCGCTAGCCGCTTTTGGGGCTCCGATCCGGACGGGTACGGAGCTAGGCTGCCCTGCAGGGGCAGCTGAAGGTAGGGGGGATCCGGAGAGGGGTTTGGGGGTGTTGCAGACCCCCTCCCCGGCCGGCAGAACCCCCTTTTCCCAAGACGGTGCAGCCGCGGTCCGTAATGGCCGCCACAAAGAAACTGGCAGCCGGGTAAGAATGCGCTGAAGGAAGTGGAGAAAGTTTTTGAAAGGAGAAAGTTTTTCTTGGTTCCTAGGACTCTAAGACATATTTAACAAAATTCCTGAAAAGTATGACTTTCTGAATGATACCTTCTAGAAGAGGAAAAAAGTGGCAGTTTGGTGGTGCTGAAAGGAAAGCTTACCCTCCTTTCCTACGGAATTAATAAGTGGATATTAAGAAACCTATTTTTTTTAGGGTGAAAACTGGCTTTAAGCGATGAGTGGGAAAGGAGAGGACTAAAAAAAAATATTGGTATGCTAAGACTGTTGGAGGAGATGCCTTAAGGATTTGAAGACTAAAATATATTGCAATGAGACTTTAAGAAACAGATTTGGACTTTCTTTGTCTCTGATTGATACTACCCCAGAAGGAGAAAGTGAGAACTCTGCCTTGGTTTGGACTGATTGATAACTTTGGGACTGTTTTATTTTTTCTTTGGAATATTCTGGTTGTTGTAAGAAGAAAGAAGGGGAAAAGAAAAGAAAAGATTTATAATGGCTCTTTCTATTGAGGAACTGAGAAAAGATTATGAACAAGCAAAAAAAAATGGTAAAGCTGGTTTGAAAGAAGCCTTCCTTTTTTTAGAAATGGCACTTATTAACTATCAACAAACATTACAACAGATGAAGACAGCAGAAGAAGAAGAAGGAAAGGAAGCCATTTTTAATAAATCTCAGAACTCGACCAAGAAAGAAGTAAGAGGGAAAGGAAGAGAAATAAAGGACTTAAGATTTAAAAAAAACACTTAAGAAAGGGAAAAATAAGGTGCAAAATCAATATAATGATAGTAAACAAAAGGGAAAAGGAACACGACAGAGAAGGGAAGCCAGTAAGGCAGAGGCTAGAAGAAGGGGGGCTAGAAAGGTTTGTTGGGAGAAGAAAGGAAGGGAAAAGGTGGAGAAAAGCTACAAAGTTTTGAAATTAAATGGGGAAAAAAGGAATCTTTTTTAGGGATAAAGGATAAAGTATAATTTCTTCAAAAAGATTTTGCAAGGTACATAAGATGATATTGTAGTATTGTATTAGAAATAGAAAACTTAAATGGTTTAAGAGTTGATAAGAGATTAAAATGGTGAAATGTTTAATAATGATTGGTTTTAAAATTTAATAATATGAGGGGAGGTTTAGAATATTGAGTTTTAATTAAAGAGTTTAATAAGATTATGGTATTGATGTTATTATAAAATTTCTATTATAGTATTTGTTTTTAATATTTAGATTTATTGTTTAACTATGTATTTAATTATTCTGGATGTACTATTTAGATAGAATGTACCAAGCAAAATCGGATTGGGTATTGGGCGTTATTTTAAAGGTTAATTTGATTAATTTAGGGGGGAGATAGAAAGGCATCATACTCTGATTAGTGATTTCAGGAGAAACGTCTTTTTTTAAAAAAGGAACGAGACAAAGGGACAATAAAGAATGGACAAAAGATACAAATATAATGACTCAAATTAAGATGATTAATTAAGATAGAATTAAGAAGAGTGAAATATGTGGAGAAGTTAATATAAAAGACTTAGAATGGTAAATAAAATAAGTAATGATATGTAAGATGAGCATGAATATAATTGAAGTCCATGAAGAGAGAGATACCTGGGTCCAAGTTACTTTCCAAAAAGATTTTTTTTATGTTTTGTGTGTTGTGTGTATATGTTTTTTTTGGGGGGGGGAGAATTAATAAAACCTTGCAGAAATATAGAATGAGAATAATGGTAACTAAGTCAGAAAGAAATAGATGAAATAATAATAATGAAATTGAATAAGAGTAAAGAGAAGTAAAGAGAAATTGGATAAGAGGTTTTTGTATGTTTATATGGAAATGGTTTAAAATAATTATAGTTTATCTGACTTGTTAAATTTATAATGGAAAAAGGTTTAAACATGTAATGGATAATGATGATTTGTGTGTTTTGAAAATTAATAAAACTTGTTTAAAAAAAAAAAAGAAAGACTAAGAAACAGTTAGGAGGAAATGTATGTTAGGAACAGCTATATTTCACAAGGTACATATTTTTTTCCACTAGGTTTTCAATCTAGAAATACTGGTTTAAATTAATTCCTTCTTTAAAACAAGGAGGACAGTTTTGCTGTCTCCACAGATGAATTGGATATCTCTCTAGTTTTGATATCAGAAACCTCCAAAGTTGGGGTTTCATCATCATTCAAGGATGGGTAACAAATGGTTCAGACTTGCTTTCTAAAATGCTAATCGAACATTTCCCCAGGTTTATTTATAAGGGGGAAAATCATGTTCAAGTTAGGTGACAAAATTAAGTTCCTACTTTTGAGCTCTTTCATGACAATGAACGTTTCGAAATGAAAAGAGATTTAATAGAACAAAAGTTCATTCCTGGATCTCTTTCTTACAAGTGATTCCATTATCTTGGATGCATGAGTCTCAAGGGCAAATTCTTAATGCTAAGCAATAGTGATAATCAGGAGTGGGATTCTACCTGGTCGGTCCGGTTCTATAGAACCAGTTGTTATGATTCTGCCCAGTTTGGAGAACTGGCAAATCGTGCCACTGGCTGGCCCCTCCCCTCCCGACCCACTCACTCCTTACCTGGCATATGAGCGCCATCAAACTTGCCTGCATTTGGTAAGTGTGCTTTTCCCTTTTCCCCCCGACCATCAGCTGTTCTGCTGTGCCGGGAGATTTAGATTAGCTAGAAAGCAGGAAATCGTTGGATCTCTTGCTTTCTAGCTAATCTAAAAGCAGATCTGAACCTCTATAAGACTGAAGCTTCTATTTTTCAGTGCAGACCCAGGTAGCAGATT